TGTACGCGGAAAGGAAAGACGGGTACGGAAGCGACAGGCACCGATGGATCTTAGGTGTTGCAGCACATGCAGTCGCGAGTAAAAAATAAATTATCGTCATCTGTACGCCATAAGAGCGCTTCGCTACCGCGCGACCACCACCAGTCGCGCGTGGGTTGAGTATACCTCGAGGACGCCCGCCCCTACGCGGATTCGAGTCGGTAACAATGATTGAAAGCCAGGCGTACAGACCACTCGGCCACTGGCCGAATGCCTAGGCCCAGCGGGTTTAGTAGCCATCAGTGCGGCCACGTGGGGCCGGCATCCAAAAGATGAGCCAACTCACTCAAAGCATAATCAGCGCAGCGATTGTTAGTTGCGCTGAGTCCAATTCCATTCGATTTACTAACCCAGACCAATAAGGCAGCTAATGTACGTGTGCCGTATCGTCGTTGCGGTTGGTCTATACGTGTGCTTCTGTGTTGAGATACTTGTAGTTCAGGGATTGGTTTTTGTTTGATATCCCCGGTGTGGCTGCGCTTGATGTGAATGATGACAAGGTGCCTACCTGTCTATTACCCGCAACCACGTCTATACTGGCACTAGGAGACAGTTGGTCGTTGCAGGAGGGGACGGGGTGCACGCTCCTCGTGGCCCTGCTAGGCTCAACGATTGGTTCCATGCATCCAGTGTGGAACGGGCTACAGCCCAGCCACCCCCTTGTGTACGTATGATACGCATGATTTCGCATTTACGCGTAAATGCTTCTGCTATGCTTGTTGGAGTAGTGTGGGCCGGCTCCGTTGATGTGACGTAGGTCCCATCCGCATGCCTCCTGGCCCTTTATTCATTTTGGTTTGCACTGGATATGGGGTGTGTGAACGGAGCTGTGGGTGGTGCAGCACAAGCCGACCATGGTCCCTCTTTAGGCGCAGGCGTCCTGTAGATGTCCTATGTAGGCCGCATTGTCAGTCACATCCGAAACGGGATGCATACATCGCATGTACTCATGCATGTGAAAATCTGAGGGACAAGTAGTTTCCCGAAAACCTTCAACATCACCGATGTGCATGCGATTGCACGATACTTACAGGAGTCCTTCTTGGACATAGACGTTATCCTTCCAGTTCTCCAAATGTTAAGGATGATGTCATCCATAAGACATCGGTTGAAAATGGGGTTAAAGGTTTCGCAAGATATTCCGCACAGTGATATATGAGAAGTGATAACAATGCGTCGGGGCAGGTAGCCTTGCTTATTTTCAAATTTTTGAGTTCTCAACAAACATTAAACCTATCAAACTTGGCTAACGGGTCCGTGTTGCTGAATTTGAACTATGAAAATGTGCTCTCTTGGGAAGAACAGAACTTAGCACATTATCAATGCGCTTATGGGGACTGGCCACATAGATACTTCAAAAGTCTCCAAAGATCGCGACAATCGTAAGTACCCAGCATACTCTCAATTTGTAAGCGGTTCAATCTTATTGTCTCATATTTGATTGCCGTAGCGTCTTTTAACTTGCAGTCATTTAGCATTTATAGGCTTGTTTTTTTTCTCCTAACTTGCTTCAGTAGCGGCGAAGAAAGTATATCCATCCGTAGGTGAATGGTCTCAACAGGACAGCACAAATCGAAGCAGAAGCTAGGGGCCTCAGTCAAGTGGTCGCACTCCAAAGATACATTTTCGTTCTTGAAAACCGAAAAGTCACTTCAAGCCGACGTCGCTTGGAGTTTCGCAATATTTTTTCTCGGACAGTCTCACCGTCCGACTATCTTGAATAATCTTGTCAAAATGATAAGTTTGGTTTTGGAGTACATAACTAGACGCACATTCAGAATGCAGTAATCTGAGTTCCCTAGAGGAGCCCTCTTTAGTGTAGAAAACGACTGTTTTATTTGCGAAGATAAAATCCAACTTACCTTCAGTCTGGTTGGGAAGTTTACCATTTTTTTAAACCAAGTGATTTGATGCATGCCGTGTCATTATTGTTGAAGTCACCAACAGCGATGCGGAGGGGGCACTCAGTTTTAGGTAATAACTCTGGGGGGGGGGATGATCGGAAAAGTTCTTCAACTTAGACACTGGCATGTCAGGATCTATACAGACATTTCCAATGACTACAGGAAGAAATCCGCTCAAAAACCTTAGTTTACACTCAATCAAATAGCAGCTAACTTTCAATGCTGAGCATGTGAACATCAAGACTACCGATTTGCACAAGAGTTGGTTGATGTAGTCCATGACGCCTCTTCTACGATTATGCAACTTTCCAGATCTATCTATCCTCATGACACGATAGTCACTGAGTTGGATAACCTCGTCCTCAACGTCAAGGATGGAGCCAAACTTGAAGCTTTACAACAACTGTATCTACCTATTCTTTACCCATCATAGTGGCAGTAATGTCCGCGATCTAACCGATCGCTGCACGCTATTTTCACATCTAACCAAAACTTTTCTTAAAAATTTGTTTGTTAATGTTTCTGGCCTTGTTGTCGCTCTCGGCATAAGGTGTGCTTCCCGTGAAGCTTCGAAACGGTTCCATAAATTCAGCAAAGACAATTGATGACTTTAGAATCGTTCAGATAAGCAGGATCCTGGAAACAGCACAATAAAATGGATATATCCGCATTAGATAGCGTAATAATCAGCACTCCATGGTGCAAATACAGTAACGGCCGATTTAGACCCCCGCCTTTGTTTGTTATTTACACCTTCATTATTTCTACTACCGTCCTTGTGTGATGCGTTTGGTTTACGACTAAGAGGCAGTTCTTTTACACGGTGATGGTGGGACGAAGGATTTGGTCACTCTAACCGCTGTGGATGGTGGTGGGGCTTAACGAGTAATGTTGTCCTCGGATTATTTATAAATAGGCCCCCGTTTACAAGGAATCGTCTAAGTGATGCATTTTGCATGCGAAGTCCGCTTTGATGGCGTTCCTATGATTGTTGTCTCTCTGTGAACTATCAGAGCCCGTTTCACGAACATACCCAAAGTGGCCTGCTCATTGAAAGTGGGATGTATGCATTCAACTGTGTGCAGGAGCATTGGGATAGGAACCAAACGAATAGCAGCCCTAGGGATCGTATGCTTAGATCAGTTTTACAGTGACATCTATGGGCGTAATATGAACTTCGTCTTTTAGTCAAACAACCGTATTCAGGTACTTGTATTTTGCCCGAAAGAAATCAATTATATGTAAGCACATATATCTTACGTTCTCGGTACTGCGAGGCATGCCTCATGTTGAGACTAATGTTCCATTTATTATGCTTCTTCGCCGTAATTTGGCTTGAGGGCTTACACTGGCGCCTGTTCCGCATTGCACCATAACTTTCCTTAGCTAACTGTACCCATAATGCTTTAATATTCCTTTTTAGGGAAGTCATGTTCTTCCTAAACATGGTCCTTAACGCTGTCAAGTTGCATCCATCAGCCGAATTACAATCTTGCCTTGTAATCCGAGGGCGTTGGTTCGAGTCTGCGTAGGGACCGGGCGACCCTTGCAGTATCCTTAACTCACATGTGACTGGTGGTGGTTACGCAGCGACGAAGTGTCGGTACTGCGTACTGCTGTTACCTTTCTTTTTTCTTCATCCGCCGAGTGCGAACGCCCCCAAATGTTTTTGTTCTTTGAGTGACCAACCCCAACTCAGCCACCAGTATCCCACTTCGTGTACTCATCTGTTATGCTATAGACTGATTTAGCATTGGTTACTCAAAAAGCAATGCGCATTATTCTGGTGTGTTCGCTTCTGTTGGACGCAATTCGATTGTGCTAAGAACCATCTGAGAAATCCATGGAGAAACGTGATTTCCTTAAGGAACAATTTGTAAGCGTTATGGATGCAGTCGGCTGAGAAACGGTATAGATCGCACTGATCCCATTTTGTTATATTTGCTAAGTTCTGTTACTCCTCTGCATGCATCCTGTTCATTTTGCGTGTTTCTATATTTCCTTCCATGCTCTGGATTAGTCGGTTTATATACTCCGAATTACAGTTACGCTTACTAACATGACGGTTACACTAAATCAGATTTAGAATACAATTTTTAGTTTGCTTTCTGTTATACTGCCGCACATTTACTGGCCCGTTTGCATGTTTATCTTCTTTTACATTCTGTGTTGGTTGTTCGATTTCCCCGGTGTGGCTGCGCTGGATGCGAATGTTGTTAAGCTGCCTAACTGTCCTGAAATTGGCACTTTGATTATACAGTTGCTTGGGGAGACGGCGTGCAGAGTTCTCGTGACCGTGCTAGGCTCAATGGATGGTTCCGTGCATCCAGTGTGTGACAGACCAAAGCGCAGTCGCTGGCTTTTGCACGTCTGGTGCGCATGATTCTCTGATTTGTTAGACAGGAATGCTGCTGCTGTGCATGTTGAGGCAGTTTTTTCCAGCTCCGATGAAACGTAGCTCCCATCCACATATCTCGGTTTTATTCCTTCCAGTTTACATCGGTCATTGGGTGGTACAGCGCAAGCCACCCATATTCTCTATGTAAGCACAGACGTCCGGGGATTTTCTTATAAATGCCGGAGTTGGTTACCGCAAACCATGCAATATTCGCTGATGCTGCACATGTTTGAGTGCTTTCAGGACGGTCAGCACACATGATGATGTGTGCAGAAACCGATCAACGGTCCTGAATGGATTGGGGTATATGCTGCGTTCATCGATGGCTATCAAAGATCCCCTCTGATATGTTACAGTCGCGAGATCATTTGTACTCTTGCATTCAATCCGTTGCTTTTTATGTGCTAACCTTCGTATTTTTCGGTTAGACCCTATTCTTTTTATGCCCTCATTCGATTAGGCTCTTTTCCATTATTTCCTCCACATACTACTAATTATTCTCATCCTTTTGATGACGCGAATAACCTAGCTTTTGTGCGCGCACCATTATTGTCTAATTGGTCCTAGCAACGGCTGTGACAGTAGCTTTTTGCATTACCAGTAACACCCTTTCTTAGCCACTTAATTTGTATACCTTTGTTGCTTCCTTCTTTTTACAGCAGGAATATTCATTCGGTCAGATATCGTAGCGCCACCGCTCAGAGTAATCAACAAAGATGTGGCTTTCTTTTCGCTTTGGCTGAGTCGACTGCGGTGCGCTTCGCACAACAAGCCAACCGATTTTGTCTTCAGTGCAGCCTCTGATCCTTGATTGCGGCTTCAGCGTAGTATGCTTACCTGCACTGTCAACAGCATTTGATTCTCAATGTAAATCCCGTTTCTCTGCCCTCACACTTTTGCTGCTACCGCTAGTCTGGAACCCGGTTCATACTAATATGACGTTTGAGGCTTGTGTATACTCATCCCAGTGATAATGGACTTGATGGTGCTGCATTCTTTGCGCCTCCATTTACTGATATTGAAAATTTTCCGATGTACATTTAGGTGTCCATCTGTCCATCCCTTCTAAATTGCATTTACACATACAGTCGCTTTTGCAGCCAATAGATAACTCAATTGAATTTCTCACACTTCCATCTCTGTCACCATTTTCCATGTTTTCTCACCTTTGTACACCTGATATTCTTTTTTGTGTTCCCTACTTACTTCAAACGACGTATCCCGAAAGCTCTGCAGTAGTTCTCACGTGTTGCTTGAAATGGTTTTACTTTACTGATAAATATTGCTTTCCTTTCCGTGCCATTGGAACAGTAACATCACACTCGGTTGCGATTTGAGTACTTTAACTTTTTTCAATGGATCGACACCATTCGTGGGACCCATCTATGTTACCACCTTCTGCTTCATTTATCCGACCTCGACGACCCTTTATTCGTACATCATATTTCATGGAAACGCTAGTCTTTTTCTCAAACTTTCGCTTCTGTATCCACACATGGGGATCACATGAACTTTTTGCTAGTGGAAGCTAAATCCTATATATATTGTTCACGTACTGTTGAATACTGCCTCTTGAATACGTCAGGTTCTAACAATGTGATACCAACTCTCCTAGTCGGATGAACGAACGAGACTCAGAATTATTTCTCGTATAGCACGGTAACTGACAAGTCTCGAAGTCTGGGTTCTCGGAACTTAGCCGCGAAAGATTAATTCACGCGAGTCGAACGGGTTCGTAGACCAAACGCAAAGTTTCTACGCACGATTTTCCAACCCAAGAAGAATCAAGAACAAGACAGGCCTTTTTGCCACAGGCGCTTTTACTGGCCAAAGCTAGGGCGATTCTAGCGTTGTACAGCCTCATTTTTATATCACGTAACGGTGATGAAGGGGGTTTTTCCCTTGAAGGGGTTTGCGTAAGCAAACCCTGGAAACAAGAAACATGGTTTTATGTAAGTATGCAAAAGTCCATAACTGAGCAGGAATGTTGGAAGTTTGGCGAGAGTTTTCCGGAAAATAAATGTTGCTTGGATACAACAATGAGTGTTTGGTTGGAAACGAGACTGTTTCTGGGTGCAAAGTCTAAACGAATGTGAATGTTTCACGAGTTGGAAGGCTGATTAAACGTGTGCGTTTTGTCTGATCCGAGTACATGTGCACTTGTGTGAATCGGGATTTCAGCCTTCCATACTTTAAGCCTGTAATAATTATAGGGACCTTGGTGCCCTTAACACGTACTTGGCTTGGCTCTACGCTTAGTTGTCGCGTGAAGCGAGCCTGTATCGTAATCTCACGGCGCGAGTTCGAGCTTGCGTACGGACAGGGCGACCTTCGCAGTGTCCGTAGCCCACATGCGACCGGTGGTGGTTACGCAGCAGCGATGCGTCGGTACTGCGTGCCGCTTCAATATTCTCAGTACTAAGGCTCTAATTTGCAATAAGCAAATTGGTGATAATGTTCAGCGACGTCAGGCGCCGCAGCCTCATGGTCATTCACGCATCTGAATAGTAGTAGTAGTGTAGGTCTATCAACTAAACACGGAGCCAAAATAAAACCGTCATCGTGGCATGGTAGTTGGAGGTGTGCAACAGATTTCAGCTAATATGCCGCAGGAAGAATGGAACATGTTGACAAAAAGTAGAACGAAACATTTTTACTTCGTTTTTTACGCGCCGATTTTTCTCTTTTTGTCATTTTCAATGTTTGTGCTATTAAACATGTGAATCAGTACAATACTGTACAGAATTCTTCCACTGATTCTTGTTGTGGGCCATGTCTTCAAGAGTGCTAAGCCATTGGCACACGTCATCTTTGGGTCCCCATCCTGGAAGACGTAAGGATCCAACAGCGGATACACACGACTTCAGCGATTTCATGTGCTGCCGGCAAGTGGAAGGCTTACTACTACGCGGTCGCCTCCAGCCAGGTCCTTGACGAGCGTTCTAGCGCGATGCGCTATACGCTCAGATGCTATGCGTAGAACGTGACCGAGCGATCTTAACTGGCGCACCTTAATCATGTGATTCCGATCGCTCCTCTAGGAAAGGGAACTGAGGGCAAAAGTCGATCTATGAGAGTGACTTGTCGAAGAGAATACTCCTAAGTTAATATTGTCCCGCCTTAATAGGCTGCAAGGTCTAAAGATCCACTTGCGCGATGACTTAGACCCAGCAGACAGAGAGAAACTCAAGTCCGCAATGATGAACTAAAGCGTCGCACGGACGATGGAGAAACAACTCTCCGTATTGTAAATTTTCGGGTAGTTACCCGGATTCCTCCGCGAATCCGGCTCAACAAGTTTCTGCTGCTTCAGGTGCGCCCAGCGATTCCTACCGCGACCTGCGCGTAGCCTTTACTGACGTCTACAGTCTGATGAACAAACGCGATGAGCTGTACTACTTTCTAACCTCTCAGCAACCAGACGTATTTGGCCTTGCTGTGACATAATTGAACTCCGATGTAACCGCCCTAAAAGTGGAAATCCACGGCTATTCATGCTCCTGCTATGATAGACCATCAAATGATCGCGATGGCGTTCTGCTTTACCTAAAGTCTCCTTTGTGTGGGAGACTAATGAGCGCCTACCGAAGCGCTGACGGTCTATGTGAGCAGTTATGGTGTTCGATCCACCTCAGATGCTGAGAGATTCTCGTAGGCGTGGTATATCGCAGTCCACTGAGCCGCTGCTTGGACTGGTTGCCGCATGTCTGCTGTTTTTACTCATGGGCGGTTTCAACTTATCCCGAATACAGTGGCCTGAGGCTGAACTACCACCCAACCATTATGAAGTGGATTGGAAGTTTACGGAGTTGATATTTGAAACCGGGGCCACACAGCACATCAACCAACCGACACGCATAACTGCGCGCGCGACTCCGTGCTTAGACCTGCTTTTGACCATCTGTGAGCAACGTGTGCATGACATTCAAGTCGGAGCGAGTGACCATTCGATGATCATAGCCAGCTTGGAACTGCCGCTGCCGTATTCTCCCCGCTGGAGCCAGTCTTCAACTATTGGAAGGCGGACTTTAATTGTCTCACTCGAGCAGCGAGCCGGATAGACTGGTCGTTACCAGGGGATTCGTTTATTGAAACCTGTTGGACTATCATTAAAGAAGGAGTGAAATCGTTGTTCGCCCGATTTGTACCCCTCAAGTATCGGAAAGTTGGGCCAGTCAAACCATATTGGTTCGACAAGGAGTGCAGCAAACTGACCCGGCGACGACGCATACTATGGAACAAATTCGTGGTATCTGCCTCATAAGGATTACAAGGCGTACAAGGTACAGCGAAATCTCGGCGAAAACAGAAAAACGCAGAAGCTTCGAGGAACAGCTTGCAACAGCCGCAAAAACTGCTCCCCAGGGGATCTTCGCCTACGTGAAGCGGCGCTTGAGGCCTGCATGCAATGTTCCAGTGTTGGAAGGCTCAGATGGACAGCCCCTAACCTCGAGCACAAATCGTGCGTCCGCACTGACGGCACACTTCGCCTCCGTATTTGCAAGTGACCAGGTATCTGTAACGAGTTCGACGAGTACCGCTCCCGCTGTACTAGGCTGCAGCATTGAAGATGTACGCAAGCTTCTAACAAGTCTTGACGGATAGATACCTGCTGGACCAGATGGAATTCACCCACTGATTCTCAAGCCCCTATCGGCCCTTATTTCACCTATAACGGAGCTGTTCAACAGGTCACTATCCACTGGAATATTACCGGGCGACTGGAAATGCTCAGTCGTAAAGCCAATACCGAAAGGTGGTAACCCAAGCAAAGTGGAAAACTACCGGCTGATTTGCCTGACCACTGTTTTGGCAAAGGCGCTAGAGAAGATCATGAAGAAGAGTCTTCTGCAGCTTCTCGAGTCGAAAAGCCTCTTGACGCCCGCACAGCATGGCTTAGTGAAAGGTCGATCGTGCATCACCAACCCACTCTTGGCGACGCACGAATGGTTACAAGCGTTGAACCAAGGCAAATCGGTCGACGTCATTTACATTGACTTCAGTAAGGCTTTTGACAAGTACTCTTTGACAGGCTGTGGGTGTGCGTATTGGTGACTCGCTGCATCGATGGATCAGGAATTTCCTTGTTGATCGAAAGTCGAGGGTCCAGGTGGACGACCATTTAACCGATTGGTATCCATCGAGCAGTGGCATGCCCCAAGGCATTGTCTTGGGGCCGATTTTGTTTTCATCCATGTAAACGATGTGCCTCAGCTACTCCAATCATTTTGTGCGTTGTTTCCAGATGACTTGAAGGTGTGGAGAGTAATCTGCACACCCAATGATTGTGATTTGCTTCAGCAGGACCTCGACCGCCTCTCCAGGTGGACTGCAGAGGTCAACCTTCCGATCGACCCGGTCTAGTCGCAATTCATTAGGCTGGGTAAGTTTGACCACAGTCGAACCTACACGGGGGCTGGTCAACCGTTGCATCCCGCGCCTTTCGTGCGCGACCTCGGTCTACTCTCACGCTACGACTTCTATTCCATGAACAACACGAATAGGCCTTACCAAAACAGCCTTCGTATGCTTTGGGCGCTCAGGCGCAGCTTCAGCACTTGGTCCGAAGACATTGTCACTCGCATTAGTCTCAGTAATACGACCAATGCTAGAGTATTGCTCTCCCGCTTATTGTCCTATCACCCGGGGCGAGATAGAAAAGATTGAGCGAGTGCAGCATGTAGCCACCAGACTGATTCTCCACATACGGGGTGTTCCCTACGAAGACTGGTGTAAGAAACTAGGGCTGTACACCCTAGCTTATCGTCGACTGAGGGTTGACCTCATCATGACGCACCGGATATTACCTCTGAGAGATTACCCATGTTGAGACCGCTGCTTCATTTTCGCACACCAAGCAGCACACGAGGACACCGGTACAAGCTTGTCGCACCGGATTTGAAGCGGGTCCCTCACCAACTCTGTTTCGAACGCAGAGTGGTGAATGTATGGAACGGCCTCCCGCAGCACGTACTTGAGGCAAACTCGGTGTCGGAATTTAAGAAGTTTCTGGACAAACACTTTGCCGACACAAAATATATTGAGCGCAACACAACATAACGGGTTTTTGTCCTTGAGTGACATTAGATGCAGCTACACAGAGTAAATTCTACTCGCTACTTCCGACCAGTAATCAATACAACTAGGTGCTAGTCGCTTATGCACAACATTCGGTTAGACATACCTAGCCCCGAATTAAGCTAATTTCCTAACTCATTTGACGCGATTAGTTTCTTCAAAGATCGACGGTCTGCATGGGATTAGGTATCGATCGAAGCTGAAGCACCTTTTAAAACACCAATGGCACTCAGCAGTAGAACCACGCCTCCTGCGTTTTTCCCCTTAGGTCCATTGCCGCTCCATTTCATGGGAGCTGCAAGTACCATTGTGTCTGAAGAATTATCTAATTTTACGTGTACTGATATCAAACTTCTCACTTGTGGGTTTCTGGGGAGCTTTGGATTACCCGCAAGTGTAATTATATCTAGGCTGAAAGTATTAACAGGTGGCGTACTGATTTGGCAATAGGAGTCTTGCTATCGAGGCATAGTTGGCAACAAC